AAGCTACAACTGTAGCTTTGGCTATTAGTGACTTCTTCTTCAGATTTGGTATGCTAGGCATGTAAAGGAAATATGGGATTGAGGGACTTGCTACATATGCTACTACCTAGCAAGGAATGCGAACACTATAGCGATAGAAAAGCAACCATATATGTAGGCCTATCAGAATATATTCGTTGTTAAGAAAGTCCAAGGGAAACCCATAATATTCCTCATCCCCTTCCTTAATAATGAGATTTAAACCATAATTAGTGTATTTAGTTTCTTGGTACAAATGTTCTGATAGATGTTTGAAATTTATATCAAACATTTCATTGTGATATATCTAGTAACTACACCAAACAAAAATAATTAGGTAGTGTTTGGAATTACATTACAGGTTATTAGTTAGATAGACAGGGGTATTCTTAATTTTATTTAATATTAGATGCAAATACAGCCTGAATGAAAAACGTAAAGAAACTAAACGATTTAAACTGAGTTTTTCTAAATTATGATTAAGCACTCTAAATTATTTTATCATCGAGCTTGGCGGTAGAAGAAACAATTCTGCCATTTGTTTAAAATGTGAAAGCTTAGAATATTCCAAGCTCTCCAAAATGAGCTTAATCTCGAAACCATTGACGTCATACAAACCTTAGCAGAATCTACCTTCCAAAAATATAAAGTCCAGATTTTATGATAAGTACTATAGTGGAGAGCCAAATTTGTATGAAACTAACCTATGTGAGTTTTTATTGACCTTGACTATAAAAACACTGCGTCTTCCCAGGATGCATGAACTGAGGGAGTTTTCTGTGTCACTTGTGTTCTATGCCTACCATTTATTGACCCAAGTTTCTGATAAAAAAACAAAAAATGGTAAGTGTTCGAGAAGAGAACGTGTACACGCCGTTGCTATAACAACTGTTTTTGTAAAGCATTCAGGCTCTGATCTTTTTAATCACTCTCTTTTCTGTTTATTATCTGATAAACAGAGTATAATGTGTATTTTTACATTGTTTCTCCTGATTAATCTGGCACCGACAGGTACAACAACTACCTCAGTTCACCTAATTAAATAAAAGAAACGTCTTATTTCGTCACTTACATTAATTAATGTGTCCTTTTAAGTTGCAATTCAAACAACCGATAGACATAAGTTCAAATTAAAGTACAACAGTTTGATTCACTTTATAATTTTCTTCATTGAGAACAATCAATATTCATAAAACTGAACTAAGTGGTTGACAATAACAAAAGAAAAGACAAAGTCGCTAACTCAGTCAATAATTATTGAATACCTGACTTCACTTACCAACCCAGTAATCAATAAATTAGTGTAACGTACTCACTAATCAGTAATTTTTTACTCTAAACTAATTTGCACTTTATATTGCTCAAATCGTTTTCTAAACTTTGAAGAATGTTCTGGTTATTAAACCACGCCCATCAGATAGCATCAGACCCCCCCTCTGGCCAAACAACAATACAAACATCTAAGGTAATAAAACATATTCTGTTTGGTTGTTTGTTTGGAATTAAGCACAAAGCTACACAATGGGCTATCTGTGCTCTGCCCATCACGGGTATCGAATCCCGGTTTCTAGCGTTGTAAGTCCTCAGACTTTTTGTTGTGCCACTGGGGCAACATGTTCTGGAAGTGATTTCGACAGTAACCTCGGGCTCTTCACTAGGTTGACTTATTTCTGCAAAGTATTGTTACAACAGCGGAAGTCACGTGACGCTGGTGACACATGATGAATTTCTCGAATGATCATGAATGATTCGGTAGGCCCGAGTGTATTCGGGACGTCCCTTTCGTTAGTATATAAGCCTGGCAGAGAAGCCAGCGAGATATAGATAATCAAAGAAGCGAACAGTAGTTACGGTAATATAAAGTGTGTGTTTGTAATCGTAGAAAGCGAAGTTATCGAGATTGTGAATCACTGTTATTTATAGCGTATATTATAAAAGTTGTTAAGTTTAAAGTGACGAGAAACGTACTGAAAGTGAAATTACTGTGTGTTAAAAGTTTGTATCGAGGAAGAATAAACTGGTTTAATCAAGAAAGAACTTGTATCGCTGAAGTTCCTCAGAAAGAATTTCTACCGGAAATTAACAAACAAGCAGATACTTAACAGTATTTTCTTAAGCTAACTTGTTAGCCATTCTCTCACTGACATACCTCCAAAGACAATCGTAGTTGATGACCTTTTGTTTGAACCATGAACTGGTTTCTTTAAATAATGGAATTTTTATCTTATTTGAAATATATGGAGTACTTTCATACCCAGGATATTGTTGCTTTGGTTTATTATCAACTGATTCATCGTGGTCTTGGACCTAATATCTATGCTTTCCACATTTATACCAGTTATCTTTTCCTTTGAAATCATTTCTTAAGGCTTTTGTCTGTAGTTTCTGGCAATATGTCCTTTTACATTGCAATTGAAACACATCTTGTCTTGTGGATTACTTCCTCCAATCTGTGTAACCAGTTGTCTAACTCTCCATTAGAGGGTGCTGATATTTCTTCACTCTTTCATCTGATAAACTCAGATGTTGATAAGTTGTTTATCTATGACTTCAGTTTATTCTAGTTTCATCCACATCTTCCGTGAGCTTGGCTAATGTCTCTTCCTCTTTCTCTACTAAACTTTGATTTAAAATCTGTTTGGTAAGGTGGCTATTAATGCTTGATAATTGTTAAAGTTCTCTCTGAAGGAAGGTTGTTTTTTGAACAATTGTTCCATGTAAATATGCATCCATTCGCTTTATAAAGTCCGATTTGCCTCATTAACTTTCCTTAATGAAAAAATCTGATCTTCCGTCGTCGATCCATTTCAACATGGATTTATGTCAACTACTGTCTTATAAATTGTACACAGTATGTTGCAAACGTTATTAACAAGGTTGATGTTATTTACAAAGTGAATCATGTGCGATAAAAGAATTATATAATTTCAGATTTCCTTATATTTATTTAACTAACCGATTACAAAGTATTGTTTTTCAGACTCATCAATCTTATAGATATTAGAATAGTCGTTATTGGAAGCCACAAAGTCGCAATTGGTTAAAATAAAAACAAATGTATATATATCTGGAGTGTAAAGGTCGTTTTTTTTTCTAAACTTTTCATCAAAATCTTATAAGTATATTGTTAAGCCAAGCGTACCTCAAGGCTTTATAAATATATTGTTGAACCGAGTGTACCTCAAGGCTTTATAAATATATTGTTAAATCAAGTGTACCTCAATGCTTTATAAATATATTGTTGAACCAGGTGTACTTCAAGGCTTTATAAATATATTGTTGAACCAGGTGTACCTCAAGGCTTTATAAATATATTGTTGAACCGGGTGTACTTCAAGGCTTTATAAATATATTGTTGAACCGGGTATACCTCAAGGCTTTATAAATATATTGTTGAACCGGGTGTACTACAAGGCTTTATAAATATATTGTTGAACCAGGTGTACCTCAAGGCTTTATAAGTATATTGTTGAACCAGGTGTACTTCAAGGCTTTATAAATATATTGTTAAATTAGGTGTACCTCAAGGCTTTATAAATATATTGTTGAATCGGGTATACTTAAAGGCTTTGTAAATATATTGTTGAATCGGGTATACTTAAAGGCTTTGTAAATATGTTGTTGAACTGGGTGTACCGGAGGGCTTGTAAATATATTGTTAATTTGGGTGTGCTTCGAGGTTTTATAAATGTATTGTTAAATGGGATATACCTTAAAATTCGATAGATATATTGTGTAATTGTGTATATTATAACAATAGGTAGGCAAACAACGATTTATAAACATAAGAAAAAGTTTTATTGATGGTGGAACATACTACATTTACTCAAGTAAATACTCTATGTATCTCTAGGCTCTATAAATATATTAACTAATTGGGTATATCTTAAGGCTTAATTTGACTACATTTTAAATTCGAAGTGTTGAATGTTTGCTGATGATTGAGGATAAATTCAACCTATGTTTATCCTCTTATTTCGTCAGAACTATAAAACGTTATTGATTTACGTATTATATTTTCTAAGTGACTTGTGCTAAAATTACACATCCGCATTTTTATATATATTCCGTTGTTACGTCTCTGTTCGTTTGTTAATTTAATATTGTTACGTCTCTGTTCGTTTGTTAATTTCCCGTTCGATTAAAGTGTTTAGTGATCACTTCGTAGCTTCAAATTCTAAACAATACTGAATTAAATCGACAATGAGTAAATGTTAAGGCTCTTGCTAAAATATTCATACAATTTAGTTTTATTATTTCATTTTTGCTCATCTTTCATATATTTCCGTGAAAACACTAACATGTCAGACATTAGTATCCATAAATAATTGACACAGTAATATAATATATATATATATATATATCATAGTTGTCTTTAAACTTACGATTCAACATCAAATTGTCTCAGAAAGCACTGCGCTCTTAGAGAGTTGGCCGAGTGGTTAGTGTGTCAAACTGCAGATCGAAGGTTCCAAGGTTAGAGCAATGACACCGTTGAATAAGTTCCATACTTTCATCCATGGAGAATTATAAGTCAGTCAATCCTTTTACGCAGTTGAAATAGTTGGACAATCAAAACCTGTTGACGCTGATTAGCTGTTTTCCTTCTGGTATATATTGAGAAAGAATAAACTAGTTTTATTTAAGAAAGGACTTGTATCGCTGAAGTTTCTCGGGAAGAATTTAGGATCTATTTTAACACCTTTATACAATTCGTGTGTTTGAAACGTACGCAGTATTAACCTGTATTATATTTTGTTCTAGTGGAAGTGTCTACAAACAACTCATCCAACCTGTAATATGTATAACGTGTTATAACAGAGTGAAACTTCCACACGGAATGAAACTGAAGTCGAACGGATTTAAGTCACGTGATCTTATTATAGGAAGGGGAGGCTCCCGTGTTTCTTATGATTACTCTGTTATTGGTTGTCACTAAACGCTATTGGTCCAATGTGAAAAGAGGCATACAACGATTGGTAAATATACGATAAAGCTACTAATTTTAGGATAGTTAAGATTTAGTTGAAATCATTGGCTGAAAAATGTTGGATGAATGATATAAAAAGCGTTTTCTAAGCTGAAGTTTTCACGAAAACAGCAACATTCTAAACATGAAAGTCCTCTTTGCAGCTCTTTTTGTGCTCGTAAGCGTGACGTTGGTGAAAGGCGACGCTATAGATAAAGCTTGGAAAAAGTTGTGTAGTAAGTTTATTTTCAAACATTATTGATGTATAAAATATTAAGCAATAGTATTATTAAAATAAATGTTCTCGTTTCATATCTGTACTTGATCAGTAGAAAAACAAAGCAAAAGAAAACTAGAATAAAATATTAGTAAAGTAAAGCTATACACTTTTATACCCAATTATATTTTACGATCTATCATAAGGAGAAATACGATAAATATTTCCTTACGTTTAATCAAGTATTTTTAATTAACCTGTTTCGTAACATGAGAAAAATATCCTCTTTAGGCAAATCAAACATATTTTTATTTCATTCAGAGATTAATAAAGAGATGCCTGGAAAAATGAATGAGATAAAAGAATGCGACCGAACATTTTTGAGTGGAAAGTCAGAATTGGTAGGTATCTGTTGTATTATGATTGATTATTTTTCGTTATTTCACTGTGGTTTTGGAAACAATGTGTTGATAACGTGAATCCGTGAATCTGCTAACATCAACGGATTTTCTACTCTGTGATAAACAATTTCATATATCTGATATATTTAGGATTAGTTTGATATAATAAAAGAGGATGCCATAGTGTTTTAACACGATAATATTCAACTAGAATAGAAAAGTATTATATCACCTTTTTCTTGTTTGTACTTTTACATCGGTAAAATTATTCATGCCACGTTAAAAAATTGAATTTTTTACGTATAGAAACAAAACACTTTATATTTGTAATTGACATTTATCAAAACTTCAAGGCAGCGGAAAGGAGTCTTGTCATAAACTGAAAATATTTATTCATATTGTCATATTTAAACAAAGCTCACAGATATAGAACGATGTGATTTTAACTTCATTTTATTATACTTGTTTGAGCTGTGTTTTTATTCTCTGTCTTTGTCTCAAAAAATGTTGCATACTTTCAGTTTATAAGCCGTAAAATGATTGCAAACAAACAAAAGCATATTTAAGACTAATTATAACACAATTTACGACAAGTATATCGTTCCTCATACATGCCCCCCAATGGCACAGCGGTATGTCTGCGGACTTACAACGCTAGAAACCGGGTTTCAATACCCGTGGTGGGCAGAGCACAGATATCCCTTTGTGTAGGTTTGTGCTTAACTTCAAACATATCCTCATACATTAATTTAATACTAAAAGGTTAAAACTTAAGTTTACAATTAAATTATATGAAAGCTAAAAAGCTTTAGAATGTAATATAAAAGTTGATATAACAAAATATTTTTCATCTCCAGCTTCCAGGTGCAGTTCGAGAGTGTGAAAAGGCAAAATATTCTACTAGCAAATTCGACGAGTTCTTGAATGCAATGTGTAGTAAAGAAAGAGAAGCGGATTTACAGGTGATGATAACTATTTTATCATTTTATGTTTAGTATACGTTTGCATAATAAAACATTTTTTTATTTGACAATGAGATTTTATTCAACAGGTGATTTGCTTATTTGTCTTGCAGTAAAAAAAAAAAAAAGAAAAACCTACAGGACTCACTCTGTGTTATTAACAGGAGTGATAGTTTAGCGATTTTCCACCTTCTGTAGTCCGGACTATGGTTATCCAAACTACCATAATTACCAAATTTCAAGGCAACCCATTCAAAAATACCTGAGATATAACATCTCCAATTTTGATTGAGTTTCTTCCTATTTTATTTTTCTTTCCACCAAAAGTACTGAAACTTTGTTTGATAGAAAAACATACTTAACTTTTACGGATCTTTTTCAAATATGGTACACTGATAGATTTTTACAACCTACAATTAGGAGTCTCATTTGTTGTCATACAAGTTACATGTGCAAAGTTATTTAACAAAGACCGCTCAAATTTAACGAAAAGTTTTGCGCACGCCTACGTAAAAAGTCACATAAGCTATCGGTCTGACATTTTTACTCCAGCTTCACTTAAAAGTAAAAGTGGACCGTTTTAACTTATTTTAATTTATTGACATTTGGATTTTTGTAGTACCAGTGTCTGCTCTAATTGGAAAAAATTAACCTTGCACCTCGTAGATTTAGACTACAATTCAAACAATTGCAGCAAAGGCTTTTATAAAGTACTAAAGATGTAGCCAATAATTAAATGAAGCACATGTTAAGAGACATGATAATACAGCCATCACAATGTCACCGTTTTTATTTTATTGCCATTTGGATTAAAGACGGCTACAAAACTATAAGGTGAAAGCACGTGCAGATACATAAGTATTGGTTAGTCCAAGCAAATTAGATTAGCAGTTTCTAGCTCAAGTTATTATTGATTATTCATTGTCAAATTTTCAGCACAAATTTATCAAGTTTTATTAACTTATCCTAGTTATAGAACGTTTTATCCGTTTTAGTCCTTACTATTTTGGAAAACAAACGCTACACTCTACCGGTTTAAATCACTTGTAAATTATATTAGGAGTATATTTTATAACTAATATTTTACCTTATAAACCTGACAGCCTCTTTAAAAATTTACTTATATGTACACCTGTTTGTAATACATGTAAAACACAACTGCTTATACCTTTCTAATCACGATTAATTTTTACAGTCACTAATGTCTTTCAGATTTTTGACGTCAGCGTTCGAAATGATTCTTTAAACTAAATATTTGACTAACTATACTCAATTAATAATTTGATTAAGGATAGACACAACAATATAGAGCTATATACTATTACAAGGATAAACGTAGCACACAAATACCTAATGATTGGAGAGCTTAGCATGGAAGAACAAGAGCTGTGATTGGTCAGAAGTAGAGGAACTGTATGTGAAGGAAAACAATTGATTAATAAGTAACAAACTGAAGACTCATAGGTTGGACATGAAGCTGAAAAGTAAAATGAACTATGAAGAACTGAAAATTGAAACGTAAGATGTAGTTGAAATGAGCTCAAGACTATTCTTGTGAAATTGATTAAATAACGATGAACACAGTCAACACTCACTATACTATAGGAGAATTAGATATATGATATATATACCTACCACAGAACTATAATGAACTTTAAAGCTTTAAACAAATACATTTTCTGGTTGATCAAACTACCAGTCTTGTAATATGATAAATAACATTAACTCATATTAATCTATGTATGCAGGAAGTCAAAGAATGTATCAGAGAGAAATTTGCAGAAGCTCAAGTGGATCCAGAGATTGCAGTCACTGGAATGATGAAGAACTGTTTCTGAAGATGTAAGTTAATAACGTTAAAATATACCAATACGTTAACAATAAATTAAACAACTAACTGTAAACTTGAATATCTTCTGTGTTAAAAATATATAAACATTATTATTAACAATAACATCTAAAATGTTTGTAGCTTCAAATAACGTAACGTGTTGTATAACGGTTAGACGTTGTAGTAACTATTTACTTATCATAGGTTTAAGTTTAAGTATATAAAATACTATCACGATTAAAATCATACTATAAATATTATCATTAATTAATCTGTTTAATTTTGTTTTTGTAACATACTAGCTTGGTACTATAATGATTCTTTTGTTCATTAGATTTGTTAATGTCATGAAACTATGTGGTTATTTATTAAAGTAGTTATTTATATTTTATCTATTTTACTTTTAATACTTTATTCTTAAAACAAGACCCAAACACATTTAATAGAAATCAACATTTCTTTATATAAATTGATAAAGTTCCCAACATTTGAAGTATGAGTAAAATTCAACATTTCACTAGAATTGAGTTATTCAGTTCCTTCATTGTTTTGATTTAGGTGTTTGAAACGTTTAACTCTTACAAATGTATTTTCTAGTGAAAATAACAGCAAAATACCTCATCGTTACTAAAATTTTTCACCTTCCTTGAAAGTAAATAAAATATTTAGTGTATACTTCTCATATATTGTTAAATAATTAAAAAAAATACATTCTCATCTAAGAAACGTAAAATAATTATGGATAACATTCTATCACGCCTTACACATTAATAAACTTTAAAACATTGTTTGTTTCAAAATAAAATCACATTGGCTTATCAGCTGTGTCCATCGCGAGGAATCGAACCTTCGTATAGTATAGTAATTTCATAAATTTACCGCTGACACCTTAAAGCAATTGGTCAGAATAGTAATCACGTGGATATTTTGTATAGAACGACACAGATAGAAGTTGCTATAAAGCTTCATGTACACTAACTATACTTTAGAATAATAACTCTGAGGCAATGAACGTTATACGTTTACTATACACCAAAGACAACAATTTTAACTATATATATGTAGGAACATCTTGTACTATAGAATGAAATACGACATTATTGAAGAAATATTAACCAGTACACAGATAGAATCTGAAATCAACTAAAATAATAAAACATAAATATCAAATATATATATATATATATATACGTGAACTAACATATGAATATTACATAAAATAAATATTTTAAATATTTCGTTTGGATGACTATCAAGCTAATATACAGTATATGTTCATATTTTAGAACATGTACTAACTTTGATATGTTCTACCACAATGATATTAAATAAATTGACTTACATATAATGAAATGTTATTGGATCTCTTTTTAAGTGAATTTACCTTAAGATTTAATTATTTTAATGTAATTGATATTTACAGCTTCAACGGATCACTCAACAGCTGATGAAGACCAGTCTACATATTACCTATAATATAATAATCTGAATTTGTCGTGGTTTCCTTCTTTTCGGGATATGTCTAACTCTGAAATAACTATATCTAGAAAATAAAACTTTTAGAAAGCAACAAAATTCTTGAATTTATAGTGATTTATTCATACGGTTTTAAGTTGTGACGAAGCCAAGGTTATACAGTGTTATTTTTGATACTTAATTTATATATATATTATGGTTTTTAGTACCTTCTTTAAATATAAAAAATTAGCCTTTTTTTCATAAATTAAAAAAGGTTTTCTAAATTATTCTGACACAGAACATTTCAGTGAGGAAAATTATCTTCACTTACAAGTGCCAAAAAATAAAAATAAGGACATTTGAAAATTAAATATATATATATTTAAAGGAGTTGATAATTCGTAACTTGAACTATTTCAGAATAATGTGTTTCACAAACTTTTTTTCACACAAGAACGAACCCTGGCTATAATGACAACGTGTTATTAGAGAAACTGTTTGTTTGTTGTTAAGTATGAAGCTAAACAATGAACTATTTGCGATCTGCCCCCCCCCCGGCACTTGAAATTCTTTCAGGCAAGATTAGAGTAAATTAATTTATAAGAGTTAGTGTGAAGTCAGATACATCAATCGAAAGGGTTTGACCTCCTGAGTACAAAACTGTAATTATACTTCAAATCGGTCAAGGATGAAGGAGCTATGAGCTTGTTTGTTT